TTGTTAGAAATACTAACAATAACGGCATTGTAAAAGGGGACAGTTGAACTTTTACTTCTCTCTTTTTTGTGCTCCTCCTCATACTTTGTTTATAAGACGGAGTTTGTTGAAGCGCCTTAGACTGAAGAAGTCTTTTGCATAAAAGACGAAAAGTTTCAACAAAGAAGAATCCGTCCAGAGGACCTGACTCAACCTTGTTCGGCTCTTTTAAACAGACTCCCCTCAACTCGTTGGTATTCATTCTGAGTAACAGCGTTGTGTGTTATCAGTGTGCAACAGCTCACTGTGTTGTCATTGTGTGAATGCTTATGAAACATGCACACTATTGTGATACATTTTTCTTCCTGATGTTTTTCGGCGTGATTCTCATCTCGCAGTTTTCAAAATATATTTCAACAAATCATATCAAAACGTTCAGCTCTTTCAGGACAACCCTGCTATGACTTTTGGGATTTGTGCAACTTTAGCTTTTTGAAATATTTAGCCTTTTCTGCCACTCACAGAAAATGAATTGAGCTCATTTTACAAATATCAAATCTTTAGATCTGTTTACAACCTTTTACTGCTGCTTTCACATTTTGTTCTGGTTTAGCTTCTTTCAGCTTCCTTGGGCAAATTAAAAAAAAAAAAATCAGCTAGTTTCAGCTGAGCTTTTTTCAGCTGTTTCTGTGCTACTTTTTAATTCGTTATGCTAACTACAACGTTTTTGTGTTTTTTCCAACCTTTTTCTGCTAATTTCAGCTTGTTCTGCTGCTTTTAGCTTGTTTCTCCAAGTTTCAGCTTTTTCTACCATTTCCGCTACTATTTAGCTGTTTTATGTTCATTTTAGTTTTTTCAGCTAATCCCACATTTTTTGCACTCCTTTAAACTTTTCAGGCTAATTTAGCAAAAATGTGCTCTCTCCACTTCCTCCTTGTAATTTATGCTTCTGATTGTTTTTTATTTTTGCTGCTTTTCAGCTGTTTTTTTTTTTTGCTAATTTCAGCCTTTTTAGAGAATTTCCAGTTGTTTTATTATTTTTTTGTTCTCATTTCTGCATCTTTCAGGCTAATTGGACAATCTTGTGTTCTTTCTGCTTGCTTCTGCAAAATTAAGCTTGTTTTAGCTACCTTTCAGCTACCTTTTTTTAGCATTTTTTTTGTGCTAATTTCAGTTGTTTTCAGATGAATTCAAGTTTTTCATGGTAATTTTTTCCACTTTCAGCCTCATTAACTTCTTTAGTCATTTCAGCTTGTTATGCTGCTTTCAGTTTTTTTATGCTATTTCAGCTTTTTATGCTATTTCAGCTACTGTTTACCTGTTTTTATGCTAATATCAGCCTTTTCAGCTAATTCCATAGTTTTAGGTCATTTCAGCTACTACTTCTGGTAGTTTAAACTTCTTTCTGCCTGGAGAGCTCGTGCCCCCAGCTGCGATGGATGGATGGTTGGATGGATGGATGGTACCGTACCACGCCCCCCAGGCAAAATGAAGTTGCTTTGACCATTAAAGTGCATTTTTTTAAGAAAAAGTTCAACTGAGACACACCTTTGCTATAATGTTGAGAAAACAAATAATTGTTTTTAAGTGTTAATATTGTTAAATTTCTAAGAACTAGATCAGCGAGTCTCCCCATGCGCACTCGCTTCACTCACCTGGTGCAGGTGGAAGAATGCTGGAGAGCTAGCAGCTCCGGCTGCGATGGATGGATAGATAGTGCTGCGCCGCCCATGCGAAATGAAGTTATTTTGACCATTAAATAAATGCATAATAAACCCGACGGGTAAGCTGTGATGCATAATAATGTGACTTAGATGTGCTTTTTTTCCTCTTCCATGATGCATTTTTTTGACTGATGCGATTTATATTCTGGAGCGACTTTTATACGTCAGAAAATACGTAATAAAACTGACACTGACCACATTACACTGGTCTCACCACTTTATCTAGCAAGAGATCATTTTGAATACCATAAACTGACATTTTTATTCTTGTTGTAGCAGTTTTACTGGGATCTGTCATATTCAAAGGTTTGTGTATGCAACAATGGTATGAGAATGAATGACCATACTCAATACCAAGACAGTATATGAAGATTTTGTTTAAAATAATGCACACTGGGCTGTTATCAAAACTCTGTAGCTGAATTATTGATTGATCAAAGGTTGCAATACCTGACGTGCTTTCTGTTGTCACAGTGTTAATTTGTTCTCCTCTCCTTGGGTTGGTGTTTGACTTTAATAACTTGTTGCATTTCTAAAGAATAAGAACCAGCTACAGCTTCTTTCCAAGGACATACAGGGATGGAAACATACATAATTTTGTTCTTACATGTGTTGTTGCTTATTTATTGAGAGCACAGTTCTGCAACAGTCTGAGCTTCAAATTAAACTGCCTGTTCTCCACAATCTGTATCAGTGGGCCTGTCTCTTTCTTCGGACCCCTCACCGTTAATCTTCAGAAAGTGATAAGATACAGAAAGAATGTGGAAAAAGTATAAGAATTCCTCCACTGTTTTTCCACAGCTGTTTCTCTTTACAGCTTAGATGTGGACTTTTAAAGTGTCTAACTGAATGCTAACCCCCAGGCGAGCAGTCACACCATGCATCGTTGTCATGAAAATATGAATTACTGGATGCTGGACCTCTGAAACAGACTTTTGTCTGTTGAGGGAGCTGCTGGGACCTCCAAGCCTTGAACTCTGACCTTCATCTGAAGAGGATGGGTGTCTGGAGAAGAGGCAGGAGTCAGAAGAGGGAAAGGATCTCAGAGGGGGTCAGGACGAGGGAAAGGAAGGAGTGGAGGATCTTGAGACCTCTTGGAGGAGTGTGGGGTAGACAGGAAACAGTCCATAAACATTAAGCAATTCTTTTCAAATATTGTATTTTTGCTTTAATTTTTTAGACAGGAGAGAAAAGTCAAGAAGGCTAGCCTGTAATTTGTGTTGATTGATGTGTTGGACATGTGTGGGAGTGCGAGGCTAAGGTTAGGAGGATGGATGTCTTTCTCTCTGCCCATGTGGTGAGATAAACAGCGGCAGTTTTCTTCGGAGCAATAACTAAACAAACTAAATGGGTTCAAATGATAGTCGCGTGGTCCAGTCTCATGACTGGCCTCGTTAGGAAGTCTGTCTGCAAACACACACACATGCATTCTCATTGCGACTTCTGCGACTGTTTGTTTGATTAGCCCGTAAAAAACAGATTAATGTGAAGTGTCTGTTCTCTTGGTTAACTGAATGACCGGTCAGTGAGAAGCGAACACAGAGGGGGAATGTTATGGTATGTGTGTGTGTCTGTGGAATGGGGGGTAACAAAGATCCCTCTGTGGGTGAGACCGGCCACAAGCCTCCAGAACAGCTGATTCTCAGCCTCTGAAACTTGAAGTCCCCTGAGAGAAATGACCTTGAGCGCATGGAAACAAAAAATAGACAAAGGCTCCTCCATGGAGTGACTTCATTTAAGCTTTGACGGATAAATTTGGATCCTTTTTGTTTGTTTGAATGTAAAATGTAACAAATCCATAACCTGAATATCTTTTTTGCTGCAGGAAAATGTTCTAATTAGCCAATTTGGAGAAAACTGACTAAGAAATGTGTTTGAAAAAGAGACAGGAGGAGGGGTTGCTTTGATGTTGTGACAGACCGAGAAACAGAAGGATGGAGCAAAAAGAAAAGTAGGAAAGTGAGAGGAAAAGAGAAGGTGATATCTAAGTAGGATGAATTGGAAATTAAGGAGTGGAAAGACACTTCTGTCAACAACTTGGACAGGAAACCACAGCTGCACACACACATTACACACACACTTTCATACAGCTGCTGGAGATATATCCTGTAACCCTGAATGCCCGTGAATTGAGACAACGCAGCTGTGTTGCACCACACCCCTCTGACACTGTGTCTGTGTGTTAGTTCCTGTTTTGTGTTTTTTGTTACTTTCTTAGTTTGACAATGTGTGCGTTTGCTCTGGTCCAGCAGAGCTTTGTGGTGATCTAAATTTGGATCTTATGAGGACAATGGAGCATTGTTTGAGTGAAGGAGGTGGAAGAGGTTTGTGGGAGAGTGAGGGCTTTTCTCTCACTCTCTGTCTCCACTTTGTGGGAAAGAAAACAAGATTGTTGCACTTCTCTCAAAGAAGGCCTAATTAGCTTGTTAGGCCTGCAGTGTCGATTTCTAAGAGACCCAAAGATGCAAATAATTTTTAAAATAAATGTTTCTCTGACATACTGATGCAATACACCCCCCATACATTGGAAAAAACGATGCACTAAAATGAGATTATTAAAATACAACAGTGGCACATATAATTAATATAAATGCCAGTAATTTTTTCTAAATTTGCTCTGTGTTAATAAATGACTTAACTTTCAGCCTAATGTCAGAGATCCGATTTTCGTTTTCCACAAATAATCCTAAACACCCAACATATAATCTGTTAATAATTTTTAACCATTTGTAGCTTGCTGAAGACGTCTAACCCCAGTTATAGTTGTAGTTGTCTTGGTTCTCTGCTTCCGTTTCCTTCAGGGAAGGAAGCATCCTGACCTCTCCACCTACCCTCTCTTTCTCTCCATCTCTCTTCCCTCCTCCTGTCTTTGTCATCTCTGAACAGGCAGGATGTGTGAGTGTTTGTCAGGGCAATTAGAACAATGTCAAGAGCAAGGGAACACACAAATAGATACATTAACAAACACAGAGAGACTCACACAGGATGCTGTTGAACATGACCACTGTTCAAAGAAAGCAAAAAATATTTCTCATATACTGTTCAGTACACACTGTTAAGCTTCAAGTTTCAGCTTGGTTCACTGCCTTCTCTTTTTTGCTTGTGTGGCATTGCATGCATGTGCAAATATATAATGCACCTTGTGTAACAACATAGACATTTTAACTACAGAATGCCAAAAGATGGTGGTATGGGCTGAAGTTGATTCATTTTAAAATATTGTCATGAGAACTTTTTGTTGCAATCCAAAAAAAATAATGATAAAAAACCCTATTTTTAAATTGTTTTCCAGTGGTAATGGAGCGACTTTTGAATGAGCTCAGCTCACTGCTGAAGATGTTGGACCATGAGACGGTCAGTCCTGACACTGCTGAGAAGATGGCTTCTGTACGGAACATCCTGGATTCACTACATAAATCAGGTGCTTCATAAAGTCTATCTGGTTTTTTTTTTTTTCCATTCAACCTTTATTTAAACAGGCTAGCCTTATTGAGCCACAGGGACTAATTTACAAGAGGGACCTGCTCCAGACAGGACATATAAAGTACAGACAACAATAACCATAAACAATGATGATAAACTAGAGTAAAAATGCAATTAAAATAAGAGTAGTGTATAAAACAATAAATCAGAGTGCTGTAAAACAAGGTGGAATACTAAAAACAAGAACATATTGGCTTTGATTTTTCTGTTGACATTATCAAATGTTTGAAACCCCTCAAATAAATTAGGGTGGACAGCTTCAGTTCCTTTTGCAAGGTGTTGCAGGAGCAGAGGCCTTTTTGCCAAGTTCAGTCCACTTCGATTAGGATAAATCCACATTTTTTTATCACTCACTTTATCTTCTGTCATCACTATCATCTAAACCAGGTGTAGGCAGAAAGTTCTGAAAGAGTCTGTGGGATTGACCAAATGCAGTATTGGCATGCAGAACATGAATGCATTGTACTTAAATTATAATTGCCTATGATTTATTGCAGTCTTGTGAATTATTGATATTGCTCTCATTGATATTATGATTAAGATTAATTTGCGATATATTGGGCAGTCCTAGGCTCCATGCCCATAGCCTATATTTAAACTTATATTAAATGAAAAGTGTTAAATATTATGTATTGTATTAGTCATATGCTATGCTGTCTCACTTGTGGAGGCTTGTTCCAGGTTCCTTGCTGCAGTGTGGGATCCTCTGCACTCTTCTGCCTTTTTAAGTTCAAAGTTTTCTCTATCCATTGTGCTGTAAGACTAATCATGCTAGCGGGGCTAACACTTGACGTCCAAATGTCTGTGGTAAAACTCACCCAAGTGCTATCAGCTATTAGCTTCTCAATGACGTCAGAAATGATGGCTTGTAACTCGGGTAAGGCTACGTCGGAAAAATATCTCCGACTGGGAACGATGGACCGAGGCTCAACGTAGTCCAAAAATCTTGGGAATCCAATATCCTCAACGGACAAAACAAACTTCCACGCCACCGACATTTTGACTTCTTCCTCTCCACCGTGATCAGAACAAGTAGGCACACGTGACACCATCACATTGTGCTGGCACTGCAGGCATCCTTGTCACTGGGTTGTCATACAAAAACGGTGCCTTCTTATATCGGTGAGTTATTTTGATGGAATGGCCGATGTCTGATATTGAACTTTAACGCTAATATCGGCCGATACCTTGCCAATAATATTGTGCATCCCTATTATACGGTGTTGGGAAAGTACTGCTTTCTTCTCCTCAGACACTGATTATTTGCCTGAATCTTCTTAGAGCTGATGGAGAGTCTCTATCCAAGGCCTCGCTAAATAAGCTCCTCCTACATCCAAGCTTTGCCTCAGTCTGCTTGGTCTGCCCATATCCCTCAGCTGTCTTTTGAGTCCCATCACCTAGCAAGGTCAGATAGGAATTCTTCTTCAGCTTGACAACCTCTCTCTCACCCGGGGTGTCCCACTCCCAAGTTCTAGGATGGTCATCATGAGAGGCACCAACAACTTTGTGACCACAGCTCAAGGCCACTGCCTTAAAAACTGAGGTGCAGAGATTGGCCCACTCGGACTTAATGTCCCCCACCTCTGCTGGGATGCTGTTGAAGCTCTCTCTGAGGTGGGAGTTGAAGATTCTTCCAAAGGCTTCTTCTGCAAGGCATTCCCAGCAAAACCTCACTATACCTTTGGATCTACTGGGTTGGTCTGACATCTTCCCCACCATCTGATCCAACGCACCACTAGGTGCTCTCTTCACCTGAACGTCCAAAACATATGTGTGTTACAAAGCTCTATTTTCAGTTCTTTTGTCATTGCCAGAATCATAAGTCTTGCAAAAAAAAAAATAATAATATTGTTTTTAACTAAAACTGTGAACTTCCTATGAGACACAATATTCTATGATTTTTCCCATCACATGTGAGCACACATGTGGAGCAGAGGGCTACCATCTATGGTACCCAGGAAGCAACTGGAGGGTTAAGGGCCCACATTGCAGGTCTGGGGGATTCAAACTGGTGACGACCTCTAGCCTGTGCACCACCACTAATCCACCCCTCCAAAAAAGCCTTCATTGTCAAATGCATGACTTTTGGTTGTTAGACGGCAAAAAAAACTCAATAAGAGTTGCTAAAACTTATCTTTTAGTATTTACACTGGCCTTTATGTAAATGTTCCTGTCCAGTGCAAACAGTCATTCAGTTCCTTTTCTGTTTTATTTATTTTTCCCACTGAGCCTAAAATAGATTTTCTGTCCTGAATAAGTTGCAAGTAATGAGTTTTCTAAAGCAGATGTTTCAGATTGTATCACAGAAATATGTACATAAATATTGGCGTATAAATGCAATAAAGCTATGTTCACTAACCTCACTTGTACTGTGGATTCATAGACTGGGCTTGTAGTTTTTCAGCTGCACTCTCTTTGTTAACTCAAGTTGACACTTTCAGCAGTTTGGGTAAATTATACTTCAGTATTGTGTTAAAAGTTGTTTTACATTTCTAAATGTGTTTAAGCAAATTGTTGGATTTATTTGTCTGGAGCCAAACGGTCTGTAAATCCTCAACACGAGAGTAACTCTTAGTGTAAGCATGCAACAAATCATGACATTTGGGACTTTAAACGTCCTTGAGATTTTTTAAAGCTGATGCTTATTTATCTGGACGAGTGCAGGAAGAGGAGGAGATAAAAAGGGTTCATGTAAGAGGATACTGAAATTCAAAGGTAAGAGAGGTTAACTGGACACGGTCAAAGAAAGGGGGCCAGCAAAATATGTTTGTTTGACAAGTAATGGGCTCAGTCTGCCTTGAACTTTCTCACAATGGGTTTTCAGGTTTTTCCACACTTTTTACATCTTCAATCATGTTTTTTGTTGTGCAAAAATGTACAAGCTTAATTTCTGTTTAGCAATGTGATCCAAGCTTATTTGTAATTTTATTTATGACCCCACAACTCCCAATTTTTGTTTTTCCCCTGCAGTCAATGGATCAGACATCTACATGAACAGCTGTCTTTATGGAAACGGCACTAGCTTTGTAGAGTCTCTGTTTGAGGAATTTGGTTAGTAGGACTTCAAAACATCCACAAAACACTTGATATGTAGTCATCTTGCTACAAGGCCTTTAAAATGAGATAACATTTTGTTGTTTCACCAGATTGTGATTTGCACGTGTTCAGTGCATCTCCAGTGGAACAGAAAGAGTCTAAAGAGGAGAAGACACTTCTTGTTAAATCTGTAAGTTAGCTACATTCTTTTTCTTAATCATTTGCCAATAATTCTAGTTTAACTTTTAATTTGGTTCTTCAGACACCGACCGACACGCCACCACCTCTGCCAGCCACCCCTCTCCCTGACGATTACTATGAAGAGGCTGTTCCCCTCGATCCTGGATCCTCCCCGCAGTATTTTACCACCAGTACAAACAGTCAGTTTTAAACACGCTCTTAAAAATCGGATTGTTTTTGACCAAACTCACTGTGATCTTGAGATTTTATTTTATTTTTTCAATTAAACCTTTATTTATACAGGTTAGTCTCATTGAACTTTGAGGACTCATTTACAAGAGAGACCTGTTAACCTGTTAGATCTTCCCTTTCACAAATCTTTAGCTTCCAGGAACTCTGTTGAAGATGCCTACTATGAAGATGCTGACAATAACTACCCCACCACTCGGATCAATGGGCCCCCCAAATCCTCCAGTGAGTCTTGCTTCATTCATGACATCACTTCACCTACTACAATAATCTGAGGCATGTTTTTCCTCAGTATTCTTTGTAATTGGTCACATGTTGTGCTTTTGATGTGCAGACAATGACTCTGATGCACTGAGCAGCTCCTACGAATCATATGAAGAAGACGACGACGAGGTCAAGGGACGGGACCCGTCTCGGAAGTGGAAGAACGAGGGAAGTCCAGATGAACCAGTCAAAGATTGCCGCATCTGTGCCTTCCTGCTGCGAAAGAAACGCTTCGGCCAGTGGACAAAGCAGCTAGTAGTTGTTAGAGACAATAAACTCCAGGTAATGAGTAACAAGAATTGTTTAGTTAAATTTTAAATGTACTTTATCAAAAATAAACTGCCTGGCCAAAAAAAAGTCGCCACCAAAAAAATAGGTCACACACTAATATTTTGTTGGACCGCCTTTAGCTTTGATTACATCGTACATTCACAGTGGCATTGTTTCGATAAGCTTCTTCAATGACACAAGATCTATTTCTATCCAGTGTTGCATTAATTTTTTTACCAAGATCTTGCATTGATGGGCACTAGGCACCAAGTATGATGGGTGCATCACTTCACCTGCTTCTCTTCTTACCCTGATGCGCCCATCACTCTGGAACAGGGTAAATCTGGACTCATCAGACCACATGACCTTCTTCCATTGCTCCACAGTCCAATCTTTATGCACCTTAGCAAATTGCAGCCATTTTTTCTGGTTGGCCTCACTGATTAGTAGTTTTCTTAAGGCTAAGCTGTTCAATCCCAATTCCTTGAGTTCCCTTCACATTATGCGTGTGAAAATGTTCTTACTATCACTATTAAACATAGCCTTGAGTGCTACTGTTGTTTTTCTTTGATTTGATTTCACCAAATGTTCAACTGATACACCGATCACAATCATTCAGGATTTTTTTCCGGCCACATTTCTTCCTCGAAGACGATGGGTTCCCACTATCCTTCCAGTTTTTAATAATGCGTTGGACAGTTCTTAACCCAATTTTTGTAGTTTCTGCAATCCCCTTAGATGTTTTCTCTGCTTGATGCATGCCAATGATTTGACCTTTCTCAAACAGACTGACATCTTTACCACGACCACGCGATGTGTCTTTGACATGGTTGTTTAAAAAAGGAGAAGCAACTCATTGCACCAGTTGAGGGTTAAATAACTTGTTGCCAGCTGAAAGATAATTGCTCATGCTGTAATTATCCAATAGAAGGCTTGTACCTATTTGCTTCGTTAAATCCAGGTGGCAACTTTTTTTTGGCCGGACAGTGTATTTCCGTTGCTTCTGGGGGCAAATCAAAACTCGGACACTTTAATGTTCTCTAATCATGTCTGGTTTTTCTCCTGTCTTTCGATGGTAGTGCTTTAAGAGCATCAAGGAGACTGCCCCCAGCACGGAGCTCCCACTGAATCTTTGCAACGTCATCTATGTCCCAAAGGAAGGTCGGAAAAAGAGGCACGAGCTGCGCTTCTCGTTACCTGGAGGCGAAGCTCTTGTCCTGGCAGTTCAGAGCAAAGAGCAGGCCCAGCGATGGCTCAAGGTACGTTTATTCATTGTATCAAACATGTTGTGTTAAGTCAGATGAAAACAGTCATCCCAGTATGACGAGGGAAGAACACGAGTGTTTAGACTTGAAGGGTTTTTCTTTTTCTGGGTTTAGGTAGTCCATGATGTTGGCAGCCAGTGTAACAACACAGAAGGACTGAATGGATCCACTTCTCCTATTATACAAAGGAAGATGGAGGTTGATAAGGTGTGTATGTGTGTGTTTCAGCTTTTTACTTAGACTTTTAGCCAGTTTATCTTCAGTGTAGTCTTTGTGGTGTTGCATGTGCATGTCTTAAAAATCGCCCAGTCATGTGTTTGTTCTGATACTGGTGTATTTTTATTTGCATTACTGTAGTTTTGTAATTTTAAATGTTGCTGATGTCACATTCTCCAGCCCACGCATGACACAGCTGTTCTTTTAGATGTTTTTTTTTTTTTTTGGTTTGTGGGTGACATTATTGTGGTTGCTGAGTTGGTTCATTTTCAAAATGTTTTGTGTTCTGAATCAAGTGAATGCATGTTGACTGGGTGTTTAAACCTTCAGTAAGCATAAAAATGTTTAAAAGGAGGTCAGTAAAATGCATTTCACTGTTTTTTTTATTGCCATGATTTTGCTCAGTAACAGTGTTGTTTCTTCAGATGTTGCAGACTGACAGACAGACGTCAGACTCGGACAGTGGACCAACAGGAGACAATCAGTCAATCGCACAGGGACCGGGACAGGACACCAGTGACTCGCTCAGTAGGTGGAAACTTACAAGCAAACGCTGATGGATTTGTATCTGTGTGTGATTTCTTTTAGAAAATAGAAACATCTTATCTAAAAACAATGCAGAAAAATTGGTTTCATGCATTTGTCATGTCTAGACTGGACTATTGCAATGTTTTATCTGGATGTCCAAAAACTTCTTTAAAAAGTCTTCAGTTAATCCAAAATGCTGCTGACAGAGTTTTAACTGGAGTTAGTAGGAGATATCATATCTCTCCAGTTTTAGCTTCTCTCCATTGACTCCATGTCAAATTCAGAATTGAATTCTAAATCTTACTTCTAACCTACAAAGCTCTCAACAACCTAGCTCCATCTTATATTTGAGAACTTATTGTTTCATACTTTCTTAACGGAGCACTTTGCTCTCAGACTGCAGGCTTACTCGTGGTTCCTAGAGTTTCCAAAAGCAGAATGGAAGGAAGATCTTTCAGTTCTCAGGCTCCTCTCTTGAGGAACCAACTTCCAGTTTCAGTCCATGAGGCTGACACACTGTCCAGTTTTAAGACTGGGCTGAAGACTTTCCTTTTTGATACATCCTATAGTTAGGGTTGGCTTGTTATGCTGCCATAGACTTGGACTACTGGAGGACAAATTGACCTAATTTCCTTAAATGAATTGTTAAAATTGAATAGTTTTCATTTGAAACTATTTCTATCTTATGTGATTCTGGACCTGCCATTGTGTATCTGTTCCTACCAAATCCAGCTGGTCGAAGCAGATTACCGCTTGTTCTGAGCCTGGTTCTGCTAAAAGTTTCTTCCTCATGAGGGAGTTTTTTCTTTCCACTGTCGCCTTCATGCTTGCTCAAGATGAGAGCTGTGATGGAGTTAAATTCAAAGTGGTCTGCTCCTTAGATAAATAGTGTAAAATTATTATTTTTATATATGAATATTTCTGTTCAGTGCCCTGAGATGACTTCTGTTGTGACTTGGTGCTATTATATAAATAAAATGAATTGAACTTTGTGAGGCATTTGGGAATATCCTCATTTTTCACATTCTTTAAAATCATTTATTGTAACATTGAAATTGTTGACTTATTTCAAAGGGGAAAAAGATGAAGTTATTGAAGCTATACAATATACTTTAATAGAATTTCATAAATGTTGTAAGAAACTGTGCGGTGCGTAGATGAAGATCTGCCAAAGTGTTCAATTCCTCTTGCCTTTCCTTTTAATTAAGTTTTCAGGAATAGGAGAAGTGGTGTGAATTAGAATAATTTGATTTGAAATTAACAGTTTAACTCCCAACTCTACCTACTCACAGTGCTTTTTTAATTTTGTCACATTTATGTCCTGCATTCATTTTAGTTACATCATCTGGCTATTTTGACCCTAAAGTTGTTGGGGTTTTTTTTCTACTTAAATAAATCTTAGTAGAAAGAGAAATTATTGTCCTTCCATTTTTCAGTTTGAGTCTGAATCTAAAGTCCTAAAAAGTCTGTAAGAACAAATTCTGATCATAAATGCAAGCAAAGCTTATGGGTGGGTCGTCTTTAACATTTGGACCACACACTCAGGATAATAACGATGTAGAGTTAAAAGTTAAGCCAAGCATTTGTTGTGTCTGCGTTGTTTACTGAATAATCAACTTGAATCTAAAGAGACATGAGAGAGCAGGAGAGACAGGAAGTGGGGCACAAGCAGATATGACATCCTTCCTGTCCTCTTCCTGCAATTGTCTCCCACTGACATCATAGGAAGGAGGGTGAATGGACCGCTGCTGCACCTGGTTCCACTGAGAACGAACGTCCAAACACAGGACAACTTGGAGCATTAAGTTTATGTTGTGCCTTTTAAGATAAAAAGTAACGGTGATGTAACATGATCACAGTGAGTGGCTTCAGAAACGGTTTTATTCCCATTATGTTTGGTTTCAGGCAGGGGGAAGCGCGGCACATTCTCAGAACTGACGGGCTCGATGAGCCGAGCTGCAGGGAAGAAAATCAATCGGATCATCACTTTCTCCAAAAAGAAACCTCTTTCAGGAGAACCTCCCTCATCTTCAGGCCACCAGGATAACCCTCGCTGTGGTGAGCACAACCTGATCAGAGGTTCTGCTGGTTGTCGGATCATCAGGAGATGATTATGTGATTACCGTATTTAAGTCGCAGTTTTTTTGCATAAATTAGCATGCCTGCAACTTATACAGTGAAGCAACATATTTGTTTTTTTCCCCATATTTATAACTCACTTTGGCTGAGATCTGATGATTTCATTCATTCTGACATGCAAAATATTGAACACTACCATATTCAGCAGGGCTGTCAACTAATATGGCAAGCCAAGTGTCGCATTAATAAATAAAAGTGGCTATTAATGAGACACTTGGCTTGCCATACCGAGCCACCTTCGTCTCGCTCTGGAACTCCTGGAGCAAACGTCAAATCAGCTGAATTTCACTGTGCCGCCCAGGTGAAATGCAGCTGATTTGACCATTAAAGTGCATTTATTAAGGAAAAGTTAAAATGAAACAAACCTTAGCTATACTTTTGAACAAACAAATAATTGTTTTTAAGTGTTAATCTTGTTAAATTCTTGTTAAAGTCCTCCCGTGCACGCTCCCGCAGCCACCATTTGGCAGCCAATCGATTTTTGGCACAACACCGACCCACATTTCCGGGTTGTCAGTGGTGACGCATAACAAACGTGACGCATCAGCGGTGACTCATAATAGATGCGACTTATACGACGAAGCGACATATTTGTTTTTTTTCCACTTTATTAGACATATTTGGACTGATGCGACATACGGCGGCGGTGCGACGTGTACGGTAGAAAATATGGTACTTTAAAAAAATGTAATCATGGTGCATTATTCAAAACACTGAAAATGCTTCTGATAATCTTCATAAGGCTTGTAAATTGTTGAAAATATTTGATTGTTTTTGTGCAAGTCCTCTCAATGTTGAAGGTTTTTTTTATTTAATTTTTTTAGTTTTGTGGTATTCTAAATGTTCCTCTGTTTGAAAAGTGATGTGACCCGAATATTAATCATGATCAACAAAACTTTAGTTTGGATAAGGTACATTTTCCATGGAGGTGGATTGTTGCATTGAGTGGAAAATATTCACTATGTTTTAAATGAAAAGTGATTAAAAATAATAAAAAGTTGAATTTAACGGACACAGGGACTGTTTGTTGTTTCTACGTGACCTCCACAGGGTTTCTCAGTGTGTGTCTGAGCTCTTCCTGGAAGGAGCGCTGGTGTGTGCTGCGAGATGGAAACTTGTACCTGCAGAAGGACCCTGGGGATCAGCGGCCCCCAGTTGTTGTGGTGCCCCTGAAGGGTGCCGAGGTGGTACCGGGTGGCCTCGGACCCAAACATCCCTTCTCTTTTTGCATCATGCAAGGGGGAAATAAACTAGCAGCTTTAGAGGTATAATGTGTATTTTTGTCAGATTCTCAGTGCAAACTTTTTTTTTTTTTTTTTAAAGCTGTTTCAACTATTCATTAAATTCATTTCCTCCCAGTGTACAATGAACGGTTTGGATATCAATAATTCATTTATTTGCCATTTTTAGTGATTTATTTTTTGCCTGTAAATTTCAGTATTGGCATTCTAGCGCGCGTGCGTGCGGGTGGGTGGGTGGGTGTGTGTTTGTGTATATATCATTGTAAAAAGAAACGGTCTACCATTTTTCATTTGTGGATATATTCATTTAATTTGTTTATTAGCCTTACTTTATTTATAAATATCCAAAGTTAGAGTAGGCTATTTATATATATATATTTTTTTTTTGCAAGTTATAACAAAATAGTACATATCCTTAAGAACATACCGGTACTTTTTTCTTGAAAATATATTATGAATGCACGATATTATCGGCATGGTATTGGTATCAGCCGATATTGGCAATAATGTTAAATATCGGACATTGACCATTCCATCAAAATAATTCACAGCTATAAAAGGTGATAAAAAGGTTAAGTTAATTTTTAATTTAAGAAGCTGTCATGTATAGCTATTAATGCACTACTACTTATGCAGTTTTCACTTGTAGCTTGTGAAAAGGTTGAGTTTAGATTTGTGAAAATTTACAAATTTGCACTGTTCAAGTGTTGTCATTGTATTAGAGAGAGTAAATGTCATGAATAACTTAAACATAATCCAAGTTGAAGTGTTGCATCATGTTCAGCCCCCCTTTTGGCATCTGCATTTGGTAGCAGGCCAAAGTAACAAAGACCATGCAGAATAATGTAGTATTTTAATTCTACAGTAGAAAAAGCTTTGTAGTCTCTGTAAGTAGGTCTAGGAAAAAACAAATATCGGTATTTGTATCAGTTATCGACCAAATAAGTTTTAACATATTGGATATCAGCCAAAAATCCAATATTGTGCATCCCTAAAATCTATATTTTATAAATTCTAAACATAAAATCACACACTTAAGTTCTGAATTGTGTATATTTTAGGGAGTTAATTTTATTAAGATTTTTTTCTTACATCCTGTTCATATTAGATATTAAAAGTATGATGGGGAATATTTTGAACTAAAAGCCTAAAATAGATCAAAATCAAGGAATAAAAGTTTGTTAGATATTCAAAATATCTTTGCTTGCTGTAACGAATGTAAAGTAGCTGCTTGATAACACCAAACCAAATCTTACAGTAAAACAATAATACAAGTGGAATAATTTTATTTGACAAAGGAGTTTTAATGTAGGTGGACTGGTTTGTTTTTCCCGTCGTGCTTCACATTATCTAAATGTTGTCGTGTGTACAGGGATGTCACACCTCCAGTCAAGTTGCTAAAATGTCACCATGTTTGTGTTTATCAGGCCAGCTCCTCAGAGGATCTTGGCCGCTGGCTGGGGGTTCTGTTTGCAGAAACCGGCAACACCACTCTTCCTGACGAGCTGCACTACGACTACATCGACGTGGACACGCTCACTGACATACGGCACGCTGCCAGACACTCCTTCCTGTGAGTCACTTCTGACAGTACAGTGCCTGAACTTACTCAGTTTCCATTTGTTAGTTATTCATGTTCAATTCAATTTATAAAGCACCAAGTCACAACAGAAGTCGTCTCGGGGCATTGAACAGAAACATCCATATACATAAAAATCCAATTAAAAGTTCTCTATTTAAGGAAGCCAGCAGACTGTGTTGAACCTTCACTTCATCACAGTCTCCCATCCTGAGAAAGCACAAAGGCAACAGTGGAAAGGAAAAAAGCCTTTTTTAACAGGAAGAAACCTCCAGCAGAACCAGGGTCAGGACGAGCGGCCATCTGCTTCCACCGCTGGGGTTTGAGAGGAACAGGAAGGAGAAACAGAATGACAGGTCCAAGTGTACCCCCTAATGGAAGAAAGGCCAAAAAACACGTTAAGATATAAATAATTACAAATACAAACAGGTGGAGTAGAGCAAGTAAAGACAGCAGCAGAGAGGAAATGTGGTCAGTTTGTCCTGCAGCAGTTGAAGCCTATAGCAGCATCACTAGCTCAGGAAACCCCAGCCAACCCTAACTATAGGATTTCTCAAAAAGGAAATGGCCTAATCTTAAAAGCAGACAATGTGTCAGCCTCACGGACAGGAACTGGAAGTTGGTTCCACAACTTTAACCCTGACATGCTGTGCATTATTTTTTTTAAATTCTGGTTGTTGTTGTTTTTCCTCTGGTAGTTGGGCCACCACCACTGCCACTTCCTCCAGCAGTGCCTCAACAGACTCCAGAACCTATGATGAGGTTTATGAAAGTATTGAGGTGAGGAAACGTCATTTAGCAAATGTAAAAAAGTTTAAATCTAATCATTTCTTTTGTCTGGGTTGTTTTTAAATCCAAATGAAATTGAACTGTTTTGTGACTTTTTTTTATTATTACTGCAGACGGCAACATTTATCTTTAGTTTTAGTGCTTGTTATGAGACTGACCCAATAAAATATTCTGTAAGTTCAGCTGTTTTTCCTCAACGCTGCAGGATGAGGAAGTGGAAAGCAAAGCAGGTCAGGTGAGACGTCACGCCTCCTTCTCCAGCAGGGGCTCTGAGAAAACCGAACAACAGGCTGCCATTAAAAGACACGTCTCCAGTGAGTCTCCCCTCACATTTCATAATTTATTGGCCCTGCTACATAAAAATTTCATGGGAGAAAATGTTGCCTCAACCTCCTCACTCCTCCACATCAAGAGTTTATTTATCTGGATGACTGATGATGCTTCTGCTCATAATGCAGAATCACCCTGATTTGTTGCCTCTTAGATGTAAATCAGTATGGACGCTACGGGAAGACGCGTGCAGAGGAGGATGCTAGGCGGTACCTGAGACAAAAAGATGAACTGGAAAAGCAAAAGGAGGAGCTCAGAAATGCATTGATCTCCCTCCGCCGGGAGAAGAGGGAGGTGAAGGAGGAGATGAAGAGTGAAACAGGTCAGAGAGAAATGTCACAGCTCAGATTCAACTCACTGTATGTTTTGATGCTTTTTTATGAGCGTGTATGTACATGTGTGTGTTTGTAGCTCATGGTATGGAAAAGCGGCTAGCTGAGCTGGAAACGCTGTGCAAACAGAAGGAGGAGGAGAGGGTGGAGCTGGAGCTCAAACTGACAGAAGTCAAAGAAAACCTGAAGAAATCCCTGGCGAGAGGAGCGCTCGGACCTCCCACTGACACAAAAATCTGTGTCAAGGTGGGCAGAGACTGTTGTTTCACTGCTGCAGCAAATAATAATAAAAAAAAAATCAAGTTTTAGAAGTATATTCTAATTATGATGATGATTTTAACACTAAACTACAATTATTGTACGTCTTTGCATCGTTATGCATTTACTTTCAGATAATCTGATTTAGTTTTTAGCATTCGAGCTTTGTACAGTGGTCCTGAGGTTTAACAGAACAATATCTGAAAAAACGCAATTACATTAAGCCAAACCAGAAGTTAAAAAAAAAAGTAACGTTTTAAAACATTTTCCTTTCGTACAAGTAAAAACAGTTCCTTAAGAATATATTTAATTTCCAGAGTTGTACCCTGAACATTCAATGTGACTCTATGTAACAAATGTTTTATTAATCTAATACTAATAATTAGCATTCTTCTACGAAGGAGCTTTAGAGCCATGCTATGAAAAAAATTTTTTACATTGCCACGCTAAGAAAAAAAAAAAAAAACATAAAATTACGAGAATAAAGTCGTACAAGACTTTTTGCAGCTCTCAGTTTTTTGTTTGTTTGTTTTTTCCCTCGAGTTGGATCCATGACTCGACCTGTCAATCAATCCAGTAGGCGTGTCAGCAAATGACCAATCCGAAGCTCAGTGAGTTGTAATATTATCCAAACTTGGACATGATAAAGCAGGTTTACCGCATTTTAACTGTGGTAAAATGAAGAATGTTGAGCATCTTGTTAAGTTATACTTTGGTACTGGTTTTACAAATAAGGAGATGGTTGGATAGAGAACTTTACTAATTGGCTTTTATTTGTGTGAATGTTCCTGTAAAGTGCCCTGAGACAACTTTGTTGTGATTTGGCGCTATATAAATAAATAAACTGAATTGAATAGAATAGTTAATCTGTGAGCACATCAGCATCAGATTATTATCAGTATGAGGACTTTAAACCTGCTTACAGTAAGGTGGTATGCTCTGATGGGCTGCAGCAGCTCTGCAGGTGAGGAGCATTTGGCTTCGGATTGATAATTTGCTGACACGCCTACTGGATTGACTGACAGGTCGTGTTATGGATCCGACTCATGGAAAAAATAAACGAGAGCTGAAAAAACAGTCTCGTACGACTTTATTCTTGTAGTATTAAGACTTAATTCAACTTTATTCTCGTAATACTAGGACTTTTTATTCTCATAATTTTATGGCTTTTAATGTTTTTTTCTTAGCATGGCCCTAAAGCACCGTCGTAGTGCTTCTACCAATTTCAGTATCTAAAATATTTTCTTGTCATTAGCCTTTATTGCTGAATTTCAGTTTAACACTATATAATGAAGGATTTCTTCTTCTTTGTTTGGAGGAAATGAGACTTGTGGCTGCAGATTGTTGGTCTGTTGGCACTGACCCCACTGTAATCTGCTCTAGTTGCTTAGAAACATTGCAGCAGTGCTTTCACAAAGTTACTCCTTCTAACTAGGACAGTCCAGAGTGGTAAAAAAAAGGCAACATTCCTACATTGTTAGTCTTTTAAATCTGACGGTTATTGTTTGTGTGTGCAGACTGCTGGAAATAAAGTAGAAAAGGTTTACAGTGAGACTGTACCGGTGAACTCTGCGTCTGAGCTGCGTAAACGTCCCCCATCTCTTTACGCCTCCTCCAAGGGGAACGTCATGCAGAAGGCAAAGGTGGAGTGTTTCTACTGAATACATCAGCTAGATGTGGGCCAAGCTTTGTGAAGGACTCTGATCTGACCGCAGTATGGAGGCTCACATAAACATTAATGACATCATTTTGTCTGGAGTTTTCACCTCGAGTCACAAACCACAGATTTTTAATGCTCGGTTCTCCTCCAGTCTCCACAGAAAACTGAATGTAATGGAACTTAAAATGTCCTCAAACATTAAGAATTTAAATACTGATGTATCTGTAAATATAGCTATCAAAATGTTTTGATAAAAACAAGTATCCGTGTGTTTCTGAGGAAACGAGCATGTTTACTTCACCTTGTGCTTTCTTGTTATTTTCAGGAATGGGAGTCAAAAAAGGGAACATAGATTGGACAGACAGATGGACAGGAATCACTGAGAGGAACACTAACTTTTAATTTGTGGCAAAAGAATGTGTCAAAGAAGAACGCGTTGGGAGGAAGAAAGCTGGTGCTGAAGAGGACTAAGAAGAAAAGAGGAGCACAGACAGCATGATGCTGCCTCGGCCACCGACTGAAACATTTACTGATAAACCAGCTCAGTATTAATGTGATTATTCTCAAAGTAACTACATTGTGCGTGCGTGCGTGTGTTTGCATGTGTGTTTACATTTGCACAAGGCTGCAGAAAGTGAACCTGTAGCTGTTTAAAAAAAAAAAAAAATCAAAAGCAACGGGCGTGGGGTTCTTAGAACCAGAACCTTCCACTCACCGTTCTATTGCTTTTATTCACACAGAACTGAAAATAAACACACACACCAAAAATATCAGTATTACTGGCAAATGTTTATGTTCCTTATTTAAAACCTTTAAAATATAAGTTTGACACTGTACCGAAAACAATGTTATGTGTAGCAATGTGAAATGGTTGATTGAAGCAATATATATTTTTATATTTGATGTTTGCACTTTATCTTGTTGCTTTCTGTGATTCTAGAAATGTTTTTGACAATTGCATTTATACGCCTTTTATCCTATTTGATGAAAATGTCTGTTTCTCTGTGTCATTTGTGATGTGATCAATAATGTTGGAGTAAATCATTTCTGTTTAAAAAATGTTTTTCTTCTGAAATTCCTAATCTACACTGAAGATTAGGACAGTCCAGATGATGCTTCAAGCTCCATCTAGTGGCAAAAATATACTTGAATGAAACTCGTGAACAAGAAAACTACCAGGAAATACTTTGACTTGGTTTGTTGCTAAAGCTGAACACATCTGTTTATTTTTTCTTTCTTTCTTCTAAAGTGTCTCAATTTTCTTTAAGCTGCATGTCATGAGAGATGAGCGTGCATCAACACATTAATATTTTAATCTTAAAAAGCATTACATATTTAAATCCTTCTTAAACCTGTGGTCTTTAGACATTAAACATAAGTCACACCAGTTCTGCTGCAACATTAAATAGTACACTAATATAAATAACACATTTTAGGGATCAAAAGGTATTTCACCTTCCAAATTAGATTTATTTTATGATTCAAAGCATTTAAAGAATTGTCAGATTGGTTGATTTATTTGGATAAGTTATGAAAGTCATTTAAACTGAACCCGTATTGTGCATTATGTAAAATTACCTTCTCAAATTCTGGATGCTTATAAATGATCTGTTGACGGCATATTGAACCGAATATTAGCATAATTTTTACATAATTTAGTTCAAACCTCCAGGATTTATTGGAACTTTCTTTTTCTAAGATTGTAAACTTGCACAGGGACAGTTCAGATCCTTTAACGCGAGGTCCTGTGGAGAGGTTATGAACAGTTACTATCTTACTTGTAGATTTTTCTTTATACAGCCTCTGTTCATAGAAAGATTAGCTTTAAGCTAACTGCTGATCAGAGTGGGGCCAAAACCAAAGATTACTGTTCTACAACTCCAATTCTAAACTCTAAAGGTTTACATTGGCTCATGTGAATATTTTATATACGTTTGCACTGCCATGATTTTGCTTACTGATCTGTAAACAAAGTAGCTGTAGTGGTGGAAACATTGAGATCTGTCAAAATGACCAGTGTGAATGTGACCGTTGCCAGGAGGTTTTAAAAACAGCATTTGTAATGTTCACAATTTAAGTTGGAGTTTCTTTCAAGATGGCAGCCACCCACTTTATTTTGAGCCCTGCTCTGACTAGCCATTAGCTCATAACACTCATCAAAATTAATCTATATCTCCACATTGAGGTTGTTCCAAGAAATGTTAACATTAATAAATAGACAAAATAATTCCAGTAACTTTAAAATTGAGGTGAAAATGCTGGGATTTTTTGAGTGCGGCCATATTGTATTTTTGGGGCCAGAGGTTGCGTGGTATGTAGGAGCCGACACTGCCAGCTTGTTTACAGGTTGTCTTCCTGTCAATCACAATATAAAAATATGCTTGTAAAGCCTCAAAACACTAGTTGACATTAAATGCAAACAAAACGCATATTTAACAAAAATCAACATTTGGGGGGAAAAAAAATTAACATGTATTTTTACTTCTTCAGTCAGGAAAATGTACTGTCTTCATGGAGGAAGGAGTGGGACTTCTGAGTTTTATGCGGCCAGCCACTAGGGGGCGCTCTTTCCTTGTGGCTCCAACTTTTTATTTTTCTCAGCAACTATCTGTAACAGGTAAGATACTGTTTACAACCTTTCCACAGAACCCTACTTAAAAAAAAAAAATGGAACTGCCACTTTAACAGAGTTGACATCAGACGTGGATATAAATATAGACAAAAGGGAATTTACTTCTTTACAAATAGTTTATTTAGTGCATTTCTAGTTTGTCAGCAGGAACCAAAATATGAAGTTAATCTGTGCTCCCATTGGTTTTTACCAAAGTTCTGGTTCAACACCATTGGTCCACACATGTTCTGGTGCAGTACTATTGGTCCAGTAGTGTTCTAACACCCTCACATTGGTTCACTAGTGTTCTGGTATCACACTATGGGCTCACTAGTGGTTGTTGTGGTCAGTCACATCAGAGACCAGGAGGAGAGAAAGGACCTTGAGCATGCTGTTACTGAGCAGAGGTCCACAAGCTTCCATGCAACAACAAACAAACAGCAAGGGGACAACGGCAAACAAACAAAAAGGTAAACAACAGCAGTGCTTGTAAGAAGTAAGCATGGAAGCATATACAGTAAACTTTATATGTCACCTGCTAAAGCCCTCAGGAGGTCTGTCGGATATACAACGGCTCTTAAAAAGGTAAAATTCCCCGCTCCCAAGACACATGCATACACACACACACACACACACCTACTGCAAACACAGCGTGTACCCAACCCCTCTCACACACACACACCTGCATGCAGACAAATGATAAAACCTCTGAAGTGTACAAGGAATACTTTAGTCATTTTCAAAAATATGACTTGACCCCATGAGCTCTGTGTAAACAGACAGTAGAATAAAGACTTCCTAACACGTGTAGCTCCCTGTAACGTTCTGACCTCTGACCTCTTGTCCAAGTGTTAACGTTGTGAAACACGTGGACTCTTTGGTTCTCTGTAACAGTCTGTTTATCTTCGAGTGTGACTGACTGACTCGCTCCGTCCCGTCTTGGTGTTTCTCTCTCCCTCTCTTGTACGATCTAGTTACGAGGAGGAGTATGAGGGACGAGAGTCACAGGTCCTGGCCCTCTGTCCCCCCCCCAAAGTAAGGATTGATTGTCTTTGATTTATTTACATCACAGTCAGTCACAGTGGGCTTCGAGAAGCAGAAGAGAAGATCCTTCTTCCTTCGTTGTCTCCTCTCCATGTTCCACCCCTCACAAGCCTGGTGTGTGGGAATATTGGCCTGAGATTTGTGTGTATATGCGTGTGTGTTTATGTGAATGTGTGTGTGTGTGTGTG